GCCTTTGCTTATATTACACAACATCCTAACTCACATCTCTGGCCGTTTATTCTGCTTCTACCATGAAGGGAACATTGTCTGTGCTCCTCTGCAAAGCTATCCCATTCTTGTTTGCCCAGATTCCATTACCTGCTGACTTATTAAGGGCTTGATTCTGCAATTAACCTTCTCTTTCTGAACCATCTGTGTTTCCCTCTATACTATCGGTAGATTATTTCTATCAGCATACAAACAAGCTCTGAGGTCTCCCATCTTAAAAGAGCCTGCCTTGCTTCTACTTCTCCCTCAAGCCGCCATGCTACTCTTTGCTCCTTTTATAGCACAATGCCTCTGAAGTGTTGTCTGCACTCTCAGTATTTCTGCATCCTCTTCTTCATTTTACCTCTTCTTCAAACCTGCCTCAATTAGGATCTCATCCTCTTTTCCCACTAAAACGGCTCTTACCAAGCTCACCAGTGACCTTGTTGCTGCTGTAGTCAGAAAAAGGGCCACATACTAAACCCAACAAGCTCAGGGAAAGCCACGTGGCAGCCTTACAAACTCAGGTGGAAAGGAACCACATCGTGTGGTCTGAATGTAAAACTCCCTAATGAAGAGCAGGTCATGGTGGGTGGGTAGTCTCGCTGTCCTAGGCCTGTAGCTTTCTTGACAGAGGTCAGTCTTTGTTTTTGAAATTGTCACTTGTCTTTGTGCATCTAAGATAACATACCTTCGAAATGTCAGAGTAATTGTCTTTTCCAGACCCCTCGAAGTCACAGCACAAGATAACAAGAGAGCACAGTGTTATCTTGTGGCCCCATACCATGTCTCTGTGCTGTAAAGGTTAACCATCCTGTGCCTACCAGTGGAAAAGAAGTATGTGTCTCTCCACTTTGCTTTTTATCCAGTCTCAGAGACTTCCCTGCTTTGCTTTCTCCCGCCTCCTTACTCTACCACCAATGAATTCCATGTAATCCTTCTTAAGTTTCGTCTTTTGATTTTATGTATAAAATAAGCTGCAAAACTGCCATTCTCCAAAGCACTTTTCCTAATCAGTTGAAATTTTGTTTCCCTGCAATTGCCATCAAATAAACCCTTATAAGACTTTTTCTTAAAAGGGCATTCAATGGTCATTTCTCAGTCCTTGTCTTATTCTACACATGAGCACCACTCTGCACAGCTGGTCAGGCTCTGTTACCAGGTGTCTTGCTTGGCTCCAGGACATCGCTCTCTCTTGGGTCTTCTCTTACCTCACTGGCCATTCCTCTCAGTCTCTCTTTGTCTATCCAACCTGTAAGTAACAAAGTGCCCAGGATTATTCTTGGACAAATTTCCTAGCTATACCCCCTCTTTAGATGATCTCATTGAGTCCCATGGTTTTAAATATCATTCACATACTGATGATGCCTGAAGTTGTGTTTCAAATCCTCTTCCTCTTCCCTGAACCTCAACTGCCTACTCTACTTAGATGTATCACAGGCATATCAAACTTCAAACCCAAATCAGCTAAACATCCAAAACTCTGTGTTCTCCATCCTTATTCAGCCCTTGCTCAAATTTTCAATGGCTCAGGTTTCAAAACTTGGAATCATTATTGACTCTCTTTTATACAACACCCCCATTCTATCCACAGATCCTGTCAGCATTTCATTCAAATTATATCTAGAGTATGGTTGCTTCTCACCACCTCCACCCTAGTCTAAGCCACCCCCCATATCTGGCCTGGATGATGCTATCAGTCTCCTAATTGGTCTCACTGCTTCCATCCTTGCCTTCCCCAACACTAGTATCCAGAGTAATCTTTGAAGAAACTGCAATTAGATAAGGCCTTGCCTCCACTTTAAATCTTCTATGGCTTGCCACTTCACTTGCTGAGTGAAATCTCAAGACCTTATCAGGGCCAACAAGACCCTTAAGACCTGGTTTCAGCTACCTTTGCGGTCTCAGCTCCCACCTCTCCTCCCCTTTCCCACACACCAGTCTAGATACTGGTTTCCCTGATATTCTTTGAAGATGCAGCTAAACCCATTCCTGCCTCAGGGCCCTTGCACTCTGTCCTCTAGTCCTGATCACTCTTCCCTCTGTATCTGCATGGTAAGTTCTCTCACTTCCTTCAGGCCTCACCAAATTTCACCTTCTCAAAAAAAGCTGTGGCTATTCTTTCTAAAGAACCTCTCCTCTGTCATACACATACTCTCTCTCATTACTATGCTTTATTTTTCTTCCTACCAATGATCATACTTGGACATATTTTATACTATTTGCTAATGTGTTATTGTTAACCACATTAATAAATAAGTTCAAACGAACAGAGTCTTTGTGCATTTAGCCATTGTTGTATTCCAAGCTCCTAGAAGAGTGTCTGATGTATAGTAAGTGTCCGACAAACCTATGTTGAATGAATGGACTTACTGAATAAACTCATCTAGGTCTCATCATCAGATGAAGAGCATGGTTTCCAGACATTGTCTAATTAATATGATCAAAATCAAGTATGAAGAACCGGGAGCGTAATACGTAGAGATCATCAGATTATGCATTTATTTAGTACCAGTGACCACCAGGAGATTCCCAGTTATTTTCAGGTTGTTCCTTGATGTTAACTCATTTGTCAAATTCTAAGGCAGAACAAAACACCTGCCTGTAACTACCTTGGCATGTCACTTATCCTCGGGGACTCAGTGTGTTCACCTGTGAAATAGGCAGTTGGAGCTGTGGTTACTGCTTGGCTAGTTTATGGTCTACAAGATGCTGGAGGGAGGCAGTACCCCCACACAGACGCTGGAGCTTGACTGCCCATCTTTGAATCTTGCCTCCATTGCTCACAAGCCACATCACTTTGGGCAACTTACTCAGTCGCCTCCTTTGTAAAGTGGGAATAAGAAAAGAATATTAAGTCACTTGATTATTTATTGTTAAATAATTAACAATTCAATAATTTTAATTCAAATAACAATGGTGAGGATTACATATATGGTAATACATGTAAAGTACATAGCATTTAGCCTGGCACATAGTAAGTGCTCAATATTTGTTAGCTATTAAAAATGAAAAGTTCTGGGGGAAGTTTTGAGGAGATCATTTCTATTAATGTGTTTTAAGAGCAATAAGCTAGGTCGGCAAACTCATGAGTCAACAGAGCCAAATATCAACAGTACAACGATTGAAATTTCTTTTGAGAGCCAAATTTTTAAAACCAAAACTTCTTCTAACATCACTTCTTCAAAATAGACTCGCCCAGGCCGTGATATTTTGTGGAAGAGCCACACTCAAGGGGCCAAAAAACCGCATGTGGCTCGAGAGCTGCAGTTTGCCGACCACGGAGCTAGGATATTAGATGACACAAAATCTTTAAAGGTGTGTTAGTCATGTTGTGATTGTGTAGGAGACCGCCCTTATTCTTAGACACGTGGTGAAGTACTTAAGTATAAAGCCTCTTAATGCCAGTCACTTTCTAGTGGCATGTACCTCCATGTTTCTGACCTTGTCTATTGAGCACATATGGTGCGATGTTAACAACTAGATAGAGAGTATAGCTTATTGTATGATTCTTTCAGCTTTCCTGTATGTTTGAAAATTTCACAAAACACAAGGTTGAAGGGAGAAATAAAACCACTAGAAGTAGTCTAGCGAAGTCCCACACGTTTTGCAGAAATACGCTCAGATGGGAAGCGTGTGCCTCACAGCTGGTGAGGCCGCAGTCAGAGCCCAGTTCTCCCGGCGGCCCCCCTCTCCTGTATTTGCTGCTCTTGACCCACAGGCAGCAGTGAGCAGCAGAGGAACGCGCCCAGCTCCCCCTTAAAGGGACAAGGGTAGCATGGGTCGGTGAAAGGCACCTGTGTCGGGGTTCCTTTTTGTCCATTAAGCCAGTAGGTCATCTGGGTGGAAAGTGTGATGTCGAAAACGCAAAGGCAGCCCCGGAGCCGGATCTGCCATCCTTGGAGAGTGGGCCCACCAGTTTGGCACCGCCAGCTTGTGGTTTTGAGTGGCGGGTGTGTGTGTGTATGTGTGTGTGTGTGTGTGTGTGTGTGTGTGTGTGTGTGTGTGTGTGTTGTAAACTCTGGTGGTTCAGAGGCCAGAGGAAAGCAGGGCGGGGCCAGAGTCAGGGCCAGGAAGAGTGGCAGGAACAGTCTGGCTTCAATGCTGGAGCTCCTTGAAAAAAAGGGACCAGGGTGTCAGGGGAGGAAACTCGGGGACGTATTTAAAGGAAAGAAATGACTCTCTTCGGCCTGCAGTATCCTCCGCTAGCGAATAGGTTTCAAGGCAGCGAACAGGAGAGAAAGGGGGGGAAGAGGGAAGGGAGCCCAGGGAAGGAACCGGAAAGGAAGAAGAAAAATATACAGGAGAGGCAGCCTGGACCACAGGGGGGAGGGCTGGAGAGGAAACGGAGCCGCTGGCGAACGAGCCGAGGACCCTTAGCCTCTGCCAGTAGAGTGTCTTGCCCCAGAACTGTCCTGCCTCTCGCTCCTCTGTGTCTGCGGGTGGGTCCCGGGAGGCCAGAGCGAGCGCAGAGCTCCCGGCGCTTTGCTGGGGGGGAAGGGCAGGAGGGGCGGAGCCTCCGCGCCGGGGCGGGAGCCGAGCCGCTGGCCGCGGGCGGGACTCCTCTCCGGCGGGCGGGCGGGCGCCGGAGCCTGGGGGCCGCCGCTTGCCCCTCCCGCTCGGCGGAGGCTCCTGCCCCCTCCTCCCCGCGCCGTCCCCACTCGCACCCCCGCCGCTGTCAAACCCAAACCCTGCGGTTGCCTGCAGGAGCGGCAGCAGCCGGCGGGCCGGCGAGGAATAGCCTGGGGCGCGGCCTCACCTCGCTTCGCCCGCATCAGCACCGCGGACAGCACCGCGGCCGGACCCAGGAGCCCGCGGGGCCCCCTGCCCACCGGCGCCGGGGACCCCGGCGCCGCATCAGCACCACGGACAGCGCCCAGGACCCCATTTCACAGCCGCCGCCAGCCCACCTGCGGACGGCGCCGCTGACAGCCGCCTTGGCCAACCCCTCAGTGGGCTCGAGCGGTCAGCACCCCTGGAACATGGCCACCGAGGTAGGGGGGCCAGCACGTGGCAGTGCCCGGCCTCTGCGGGAACAGATCCCCTCTAGGAGCGTGCTGGGCGGGAAAGGAGGCGGGGTGGGGCGGGAGGGTGTGGGGTGAGGCGGTGGGGTAAGGTGGTTTCCAGGGTCGGTGGGGGCGGAAGGGGTGGATGGTGCAGTGGCAGAGGGGAAGAGCGGAGCTCAGCTCACCCCTGGCTTGTCCATCTGCCCCATTTGAGTGCTGGAGCTATCCGTGCCACTTGTTGGCACTAGCGCCAACCAGGGCTGCTCCAGCACTTCTGCTGGGGTTTCCCCTTCCCCTCGACTGCAAGCTTCCCTACCCTAAGGGTTGGAAATGAGCCTAGGAGAGGGAATGCGGCTGGGTGCTGTTGCTATGCGGTGCAGTGATTCGGCTGCTGAGCCAGAAAAACCTGGCACAGGCATGGCAGACCTACCTCCACATCAGCATTTCCTTCAGGGGCCAGAGGGAGACAAGGGATCTCCAAGCCAAAACCCCAAATGGTTGGTTTGAATGAGCTGCCCTGGCTTGCGTTTATCCTCCACACTGGAGTTTCCTGTGCCTGGGTGTCCACATTTCTCCTGTGTCTGATGGGAGGAGCGTGCCTTCCTTGAGGTGTGCCTATAGGGGTGTTACTTTCAAGAGACTTGAAAGTTGAACCAAGGGACCTGTTGGCTGAGGTCAGAATTGATGTGCACTGCTTAAGAGGCCAGGAAAAACCTCCTCTGCCCCCTCCTCTCATCAGATAAACAGGGCTCTTTATGTTCCCACTTAGTAAATGGGGAAGGTAAGCCATAGAGAAGGGGAGGGTCTGCCTGAAACTACTCACACAGCATGTCAGCCGTAGAGCTGAGAGTTTCCTTTCTTCGGATTTTTGGAGTGGAACCCAGGACACCCAGTTCCGATGTGGACTTCTTTTGTGGTGTTTTCCCATTTCTGACACAGCTGGGACCTGGGCCATGGGGACAGCAGAAGCTTTTGAATGGCCTAGTGCTGCGCCTCCGGGCATCCTGGTGAGCAGCGTGACATCAATACGAAGTGTCATTGTTATTCTGCTGGTGTCTCCACCACAGAACCAGTGCCGTTGCTCAGCATCACTCCGGTTTCTGACCTGGCTCAGGCTTCGCTAGAGGAGCTTGCCCCCAGGACCCTGGGAGGGGCTAGCCTGGAGCAGGCCCCATGGAGCTTGGTTTCTAGGGCAGAGGGATGCAGGATGCTCAGAAAGTACCACAGACCCCAGGGAGAGCAGGAAGAACAAGGAGAAATGGCCAAGGAGCAGGTCACCTTCCAGACAGGGCTGTCAGACTGCAGTGGAGGTTGCAGGTGTTAGGCAGGAAGGAAACGTCAGACACACGGGCACCATTGGGCCAGGGGCGTGGGCAGAGGAGGCAGCTGCATCTGTGATGCCATCTGACAAGATTCCAAGAGGCCCACCTGCCCCAGCATAGCTTCCTCTCGGGTCTACGCTTCCCAGACTCCAAACAGCAGGCTCACCTCTCGAGGTCCAGGCTCTGTTTCCAAGAGGCCGCTGTGAGGCATGTGTGATTCTCCCCGTCACACTTCTTGAATCTAGCACTTTTCCTGGGTTCAAAGCACTATCACATACGTGCTTTCCTTTGAGTCTTAGGGCAACCCTGTGAAGTGGGCAAGGATGGTGTTATTATTCCCAATTAACTGGATGAGACAGTGGAGATGCAGCAGCTTGCCTGGTCCCTGTGAAGGAGCCAAGGAAGGAATCATTATCTCATTTTACAGATGATGCAACTGGGGAGCTGAGACTTATTCAAGAAAATATGGCTAAAAATCAGCAGGGCCAGGACTAGAACTTGAGTCTTCTGCCTCCCTGGCCAGTGAGCATTTGGCTGTATCCAGGTGTCTCAGTTGGCCAGCCTTATTGCCCAATAGAGAGGTGGGCACTAGAGGGTCTCGACATGAAGCTTTGAAGGAGTTCGTGTGGGAACTGGTCTGGCTGGGCCAGCCTGAGGGCAGAGGGACAGAGGAATGCTCAGAAGGGAGGGGGAGCAGAGGGCAAACATTGCTCATTGCCTGGCTTTGCGTTGGGTGGACTCTGATGGAGCACCGAGGGAGGAAGCCTTCACCCTGCCAAGGCACAGGACGTGCACATTATCTGGGCTGCAGAGTGAGTCATCCTCCCCAGGCTGTTTTTAACGTGCGGAATGAGGGAAGATCACCAGGAAAAACCTGTTGGGAGAAGGAGACCTCATCCAACCTCCTGTGGCCATTCCCTTAGGATTCTGAAGGGGGAGGGAGTCCTTAGCTCCAGCAGAAGGTGCTTTGAGGGGAGAAGAAGGGAAAGAGAGAGGGAGGGAGGAAAAGAGAAAGAGAGGGAGAGGACAGTGAGGAAGAGCAATAAGAGAGAGGCTTAAAAAAGATGGGCTGTCCCTGGATCTCTAAATAAGGAAGTCATGGAAACAGGACCCTTTTGCTCCCTTATTTTTGTTTAAGAGTCAGCTTCATGCTGAAACCAGTTTGGCTCAGTGGATAGAGCGTCGGCCTGTGGACTGAAGGGTCCCAGGTTCGATTCCAGTCAGGGGCATGTACCTTGGTTGTGGGCACATCCCCAGTGGGGGGTGTGCAAGAGGCAGCTGATCGATGACTCTCTCATCGAAGTTTCTAACTCTCAATCTTCCTCTCTGTAAAAAATCAATAAAAATATATTAAAAAAAAAAAAAAAAGAGTCAGCTTCACGGTAGGTGTGTGTGTAAGGAACACAGAGGAGGGAGACGCCTCCTGAGTGGTACACTGACCTCATTTGGAAACTGAGCCTATATCCTGAGCAACAAATCTCTGTGAATGTGTGTCACTGGGAGCAGGGACTACTGCCCAGGTGGCGAAGGCAGCTAGAAAATGCCTGGCTGAAAGGGGCTTCTCCAAGAGGTGGAGTTTGGCTCCTGGGAGGCTTTAAAATGTGTCCAAGTAGCACTGCCCAAAGTTTGATCTCTGAGGCACAGAATTGACGACCAGCAGACAATGGGCTGGGCTTGGGCTCTGTTGCCGTCAGAGACACAGGGAGGCCTTGTGCCCAGGTTTCCATCCTGAGGCCCCACTTGGCTGCCTGTGACTCATAGTCCTCACTCCCCCACAGCCTGGCCAGGGAGCATGATGTTGGCTCAGCTGCATTTCCTGATTCCAGAGTCGAGTCTCAAAAGCATCCTCAGAATTAGCTGTTTTTAATGAGGATAGAGATATGGGCCAGAAGGGGCCTCCGGTGTGTCTAGGGCAGACGGGGCCTGGGAGTGCTTATTCGTACTCCGTGTCTGCTCCTCCCCACCTCCACCAGGTTGACTCTATTGGGAACAGTGATGGGAGAGGGGAGGGTTGAGGAAGATAAGAAGTGGATGAGAAGCCCAGGTGTCTGGGTCAGTGTCCAGGGGGACTGCCCAGGAGAGACACAACAGCTGACCCCCGGGAGAGATGGGTGCATGTTCCGGGACCCTCTTGTGGGGTTTCAGAGCATCATGATCTTGGCTAAAACCCTGGCCAGCCTCCTGAAAGCTGGCAAGTGGCTGGACAGTTGACTCTTGCTCTGGTCCCAGGGCTCCCTGCCATGGAATGGTGCTGGTTCACAGGTGTACCTTATTTGGTCTGCTCAATGCATATAAACGTAAAACATTTATTTGAAATCTTTAAAAATCATGCTATTTGATGTTAAGAATATCTGGATTTATGGCTTTTCTTTAGAAGTCAGAATCACAGCCCAGGCACACCTCACATCAGGTGAGACCGGAGGACATGAGTTCTCTAATTAGCCACAGTCCCCACTTGGCCCCCTTACATGCTTAGTCCGTGTAAACATTTGCATTCATAATCCCTGACGAGGCATCTAGAATGTCAGAGCTGGAAGGGTCTTTAATGATTACCTATAGCTCCAACCTCGTCAATTTCCAGTTGAAGAAGTGAAGGCCTGGAGAAGGAAAGACTTTCTAGATTCACGTGGCCAGGACGAGCATCTGGTTTCCTGCTCCTAGACCAGTGGCCCATCTTTCCATCAGAGCTTTTAGGTATTTCACACCCAAGCCACCGGGGCCGGAGAGGGCCAGGACACATGGCCTTGCCTTGAATCCTGCTCTTCACCAACTACTGATGAGTTGGTGATGTGTGTGCTTTAAGTCAATCTTGGAAATGATTGCCATATAAAGTGTATTCGATACTGTCCTCTAGCAACTCCTCAAGACCCCACAAACACTCTTCAAGGAGGGGATGGGAGGGGATCCCTGGTCCCCCAAAGCCAGGACAGTGTCCTGAAGCTCAGGATATTGTTAGGGCTGAAAAGGGTATTGGCCCCTCCCACTGTGGCAACTTTGAGAACCTGTGGGTAAAAGCCAAGAGTAAATGGGACTGCATTATGTAAGGTAGCACCCTAAAATCTTAATGGCGTGACAATGTTTCCCAAACTTTTGACATATGTGTACCCCTTCTATAATTTTTGTAACGCTGAGTACCCCTCGTACTCATGAGAACGTAGAATTAAGCGCAGCTAAGCACGGTGCAGTGCATATCCCCACCAAACTCCCGTGCAACGCGTATCCCCACCAAACTTCCCGTATCCCTAGGGGTACGCGTACCACACTTTGGGAAACACTGGCGTGATACAATAGAGGTTTATTTCCCCTTAGGTGTTCCTGATCAGCAAGCAGGTGGACCTCCTCTAGGCTGGGATTCAAGAACTCAAGCTCTTTCCCACTGTTGTTCCACCATCTTCATTTCCACACGAGACTCCCTGGGTTTCTGTGGAAGGGGAGAGACCTCAGAGGAGTGGCTGGTCTTTATGAGCCAAGCCTATAAATGACATTTATCACTTCTATTCACATTTCATTCAGTCCCATGGCCACACCTAACAAGCTGCAAGGGAGGCTGGGACCTAATCTAGCCGTGTTCCCAGGGGGTAGAAGAGGTGGCTGTGGTCAACAGCTAGCCAGTCCTCAGAGACACATACCGTCCTGCTAGCTCACAGGGCACGTGTGTGAATTCAGACAAAGGAGGATGTTGGAGGGGAGGAAGCTGAGTCCATGCCAAAATGGCTGAAGCACTGGCCTTTCCTTTTCTTCCCATTTTCACCACATTTTTATGGACTTGGACCCACTTTAGTCAACTTTCCAAGTGGCCCTACCCTAGTCATGTCCACTTCCTATGCACCACTCACGAAGCTGCCAGAATGATCCGTCTGGGGAGGGGAATCCATCCTCAAGATGGACTGGCTCGTGTCAGTGGGTTAGGAAGATGGAAAAAGGCCATCACCCTTTTCCTTAAAAAACAAAACAGTATAAACCCTTAACCAGCTAGAGCAGACACCATGATGAGTAACTTATTTAACTAAGCAAAGCGTTCTTTATTTTTCAAAGTCATCATAGGATCCTAGTAGATGATCCTAAGAGACATGTCAATGGAACCTAATGAGAGGAATCAAGAACTATTAAGACTAGAGGAGTATGTATACATTATTTAATCTAATCCCAATCCTTTGGGATCACATCTCTTAGGCAGAACAAGGCTCACCTGGAGTTAGGAAGGTCTTGAATAGTGGTCATTCTCTGATTTGTACCTTTCAGGACCTTGATCTACCAATTATCTGCTCCTGCTACCGCATTGACCATCTTTTTCACGTTACTTATTCTTTACACAGATTTTAAGCAACTCTTTTCCATCTTAAAATCCTCCCCTTCAAAAACCCCTCTAGTAGTTTTTAAAAACCAATTCTCCTCGACATTATTCCCAGTGTTCTTGTCTGATTTGCAAACCAACTCCATACTTGCTGAAATCTGCCTCCAGTGAAGTCTTCTCATTGGAGTAGACTATCTTCTCTGCTATCTTCATTACTTTGCAAGCTTCTCCCTCTGTCTGGGTTGCTTCTTCCTCCTAATAATCCCCCCTCCCTACCTCTCCTCCTCCCCTGCCCCTGCCACTGGTAACTCCCGGCCTTCCTTAATGACTCAACAGGATTCCAGGAAGCCTTTCTGAGTCTGTGCTTCTGGGAAAGAGGCTATTTCTCCGTAGCATTTATCACAGTCGACTTCATTATATATTTACCTGTCTCCCTCCCTGAAGCTCACAGACTGTCTTCTGCTCGGCATCCCTGGAGACTGGCAATAGTGAGGACTCAATAAAGGAAAGCCGAGTGACTGAATGGACTCACTTTAATTACACTGGATGAACTGGTTGTGTGTGCACTCTGCCTGTAGGGCCCGGTCTCCACGTGGCTCTAATGGCTGGCATATTTCACCCAGTAGGTTGCTTGTCAGGAACGTGGATGAGAGACTGAAAGTGGAAGAAAGGGGCCCTGTTCTTCTGTGGAGTTGAGTCCACTTCCCACAAATGCTAGTCTGTGTTGATGCCGAGTCTGCAGGTGTGGACAGGGGACAGAAGTCGCCCCCTCCTTCCTACCAGGGCAAGGAATTGCTTCTATGTTTGGCTTCAGGCACCCTTTATCCACAGTTTTCTCTGGGGCCTGGGGCATTTGTGGGACTCTCCTTTCCTATGGTGAGAGGTGCTGGACCTGAAAACCATTCCTGGTACTCTCCTACCCAGGCCATCAAGTGACTTTGCCTGAACCCGAATCTCTCTGAGTTCAAGGGCACATCAGGTACCTCTCTGCCTCACACGCCTCTCTCCCAGACCTGCTGTAAGAGCCACTCAGAGTTTGACACTCCAACCTTGGTCAGTATTGGGCCCCTAAGCCAAGGCCTGATAAGCTGTGACCATTTGATGCTAGCTGAATGAATGGAAGTATGGAGGCCGCACCTGGTGTGTGTATGTGTGTCTGTGAGGGGTGGAATGGGGTGTGGGGGGTGGATTTGGGCCAGCCACCAGAAAGTCTTTCCCTCTAGTTAAAATTTTTTTCTGGCTTTGTTGATGGTTTCAGAACCTCTTGTTTTGGCTCAGTTTTGGCTCTGCTTCAGGCTTTTTCTAGATTTTCCTGGGCTTGTTCGGGGCGTCTCCTGGGGGTGAACTCTATAGTCCTGCTTCCCCGTGACCTTCCTTGAGCACATGTAGGGTAAAGTGACCAATCGGGACATTTTTAAAACGCCGCGGGACAAATTGTTAAAAATCGGGACTGTCCCGCCAAAAGCGGGATGTCTGGTCCCTTTAATGTAGAGACCAACTAGTCCCAGTTTCCCAGAAATGTTCCTGAATTTGGCGCTGAAAGACCCACACCCCCGCCCTCTGTCCGGGACAGACCTGGAGGGATGGTCACTGGACGGTCTCCTCTCCGCCTGCGCAGGTGCACAACCTGCAGGAGCTGCGGCGGAGCGCGTCCCTGGCCACCAAGATCTTCATCCAGAGGGACTACAGCGACGGCACCATCTGCCAGTTCCAGACCAAGTTCCCCCCGGAGCTGGACGGCCGGGTAAGGGCGGAGGCTTCTAAGCTGGGGACACAGGCCGGGGTGGGCCTGAGGGGCTTAGTCACGTGTATTTCCCTGCCCCCCCCCCCCCCCCATCACTGATTCAGACACTTCACACGGAAGAATTAAAAAACAAAAAACATTCTTAACACGGTCGTGCTGTTGCCTCATTGAAAGCCGGCACTGAAGGAACCTCAGTTTCTAGTCCGGCAGCTCTCACTTTTCAGTAGCGGGAGAGCTGCCTAGAGAGCTTGTTAAATGTAAACTCCCCAGGCCTGGTGGGTGGTACCAGGTGTCATCAGAGATTTTGTTTGTTTGTTTGTTTTTTTCATCACTTAGGAATTTCTTGATTTTTATTAGCAAATATCTACCATAGAAACACTGAACAATAACAAAACCACGAGGAGGGCGTTGCTGGAGAGAGTTGGCATAACTGTGGTTAAAAACACAGACTCTGAACCAAACCATCTCAGGGCCAATCTGGACTAGCTGGGTCTTTAGGTTGGTTTCTCAACATCTCTGCCTCAGTTTCTCCATTTGTAAAACTGAGATAATAATAGCACCCACCTCATAGAACTAAGGGGATTGAACACCTTAATAACCGAAAAGCATTTAAAACAAAGGTCAGCACGTGGTAAGTGCTGTATGTGTTCATAAAACTTTAAGATTTTTTAAAATTAAGTGGGTTAATTTATCCACGGGTCTTTCCAGTCCTTGTCCATACACAATGTTAGATGTTATAGTAGACATGTATAATATATAACTCTCTGTCCTTGGTATTCCTTTAGGGTATGTTCTGGTGTTTTGGACTAGGTTCAGGAATCTCCACTGTTTAGCAGCAGTTCTCACCCACATTAGCACTTTCTGGGGGGCCCTGAAAGATGCTGAACCCTGGGCTGATCCCCACAGCCCTCCCTGCAGACACAGCCTCTGTGTGTCTCAGGGACCTCCTGCCCCTGGTGAGGCATCAGCTCTTTCGGCAGAGTTTTGCTCCTGGTTCTGGTGGGGAGAGGGGTGTGTCGCCTCCATCCAGGCTGCTTTGAATGCCCTGGGTTTGGGGGAGGGCTGAGGGCAGACCCTGACCCTTTCATTCAGCAGCCAGGCAGATCTAAGTGGGTTTGGGGAAGGTGGGACAGGCCTGGCTTTTGCTGATCGGATCCCCTAACCAGCTTTTGGGGAGCCATATGGGTCTCCTTATTTTAGCACACCTGTTCTTTGGGGTGGGGTGACACTGGGGCAGTAGGCCTGAGGTCAGGGGCCAGATGGACAGAATTGTATCTGTGTTCACTCCAGGTCTGTGTAGGGAAAGTGACTGGGAACCCCAAAGTTCCATTTGTGGGAGGTTCCTAACCGGTGTGATGAGCAGTTCTGGTCCTGTGGGAGTGAGTGGGGAACAGGGTACTCTGGAGAGTATAAAAATGGAGTGACAGACTCTTGGACATCTGCTGGGTTTGGAGCATAACCTTCCAGTCCGGGTGTCCAGTACGGGTGGCACAGTGAAGGCCAGACTTGGGTCAGAGCGGTGCAACCGTGGACACGTCCACTCAGCATTCAGCGGGTACTTATGGTGCATCTCTATGAAACGGGCACCGGGGATATAGGAGCAAACGGAGGGAGCTTCTTTCCTTTCTTTCTTTTAAACTTGACTCAGTACCATAATTAATTAATTAATTAATTAAATTTTAAAGTTTTTTTTAAAAAATATTTTATTGATTTTTTACAGAGAGGAAGGGAGAGAGATAGAGAGCTAGAAACATCGATGAGAGAGAAACATCGACCAGCTGCCTCTTGTACACCCCCTACCGGGGATGTGCCCGCAACCAAGGTACATGCCCTTGACCGGAATCGAACCTGGACCTTTCAGTCCGCAGACCGATGCTCTACCGCTGAGCCAAACCTGTTTCGGCTAATTTTTTAAGTTTTATTGATTTTTTACAGAGAGGAAGGGAGAGTGATAGAGAGTTAGAAACATCGATGAGAGAGAAACATCGGCCAGCTGCCTTCTGCACACACCCCACTGGGGATGTGCCCGCAACCAAGGTACATGCCCTTGACCGGAATCGAACCTGGGACCCTTCAGTCCACAGGCCGATGCTCTATCCACTGAGCCAAACCGGTTCTGGCTGGAGCTTTTTTTCTATCAGAAAAAAACAACAACAATAAAAAACAAACAAGTAAATATAGAGTAGCTCAGGTGATCACAAATACTGGAAAAATAAGGGGGAGGGCAAGCTGGATAGAGAGAGCTAGAGATAGGGAACCATCTGGGGTAGCCTGTGGCGTAAAGTGAGACCTGAGGGAAGTAAGGGAGGAGGGGGTAGGGGCCAGTGGGGTCTGGTGGAGGAGGTTTGCGGCAGCGTGTTCAGGAAATAGCAGCCTGGTGGTCAGTGTGGCTGGTGTGGGGCCGGCGTGAGGGGCAGAGTGGGAGATGGGCTTCACGGGGCCCAGGGCCAGGCTGTGGAGGACTTCCTGGATCCCACTTGAAAGGAGATGGAAGGCTTGGGAAGCTCTTGCTCAGAGCTGACCTGGCTGGGCTGGGCGTATGGAAGCCAGTTGGGAGGCTGGAGCGCCAAGCAGCGCTCCCTGTGGAAGCGGATGACAGACCCGCTTCTCCGTCAGAAGGAAGTGTGTGGGTTAAGTGGAAGAATACATTAGAAAAGCCGGGCACAGGGGGAGTGCTGAGTAAATGTTAGCTGAGATGATTACCGATGAGGGTGGGCCAGCTTCCCCGTGGTCCAAACACACGGGACTGTCGTGTTCCTTGTCTAGGAGGAAGTGCCCCTTCCTGGGAAGTCACGTCTGAGGTCTCACCCAATGCTCTCATGCCGTTGAAGTCCCTTCCAAACATGGGAGCCCCTACCAATGAGGTCCTGAGCTCTCACAGCCACCAAAACAGGGGTGAGGGGTGACAGAGTCACTGAATTCCTGCCTAAAGCATTCACATTTAGTATATTGTAGGAGCTTCCTGTTTCCAAGGGAAGCCAAGTAGGATGAAAAAAAAAATTCTTTATTTGTTTGTTTTAAATACTATTTATTTATTTATTTATTTATTTATTTATTTATTTATTTATTCTGATTTCAGAGAAGAAGGGAGAGGGAGAGAGAGAAACATCAATGATGAGAATCATTGATTGTCTGCGTCCTGCACTGAGAATCGAACTTGGTAATCCGGGCTTTGCCCTTGACCGGAATTGAATCTGGGACCCTTCCGTCTGCAGACCGACACTCTATCCATTGAGACAAAGCAGCTAAGGGCCCAAGTAGCATTTTTATTCCCATTTTACAGATGTGGAAACTGAGGCTAGGTGTTTAGATCCTTAGTCCAAGGTCACATAGCTAGCTGACGGCCAGGTCTGAACCCAGCTCTCCTGACGTCCAGTCCAGTGCTCTTTCTGCTCCTTCACCGGTGCCTGCAGCCCCTTGGTCTTGCCTGGGTGCTGCCCCCACCCCTGGTGTGGTCCTACCACTCCCCCCACCTCAGCCGGTGACTGTTCACACCCCAGGGAGGCTGACCTCGGCCTGGCCCTCTGACCCTCTCTCCCTCCAGATCGAGCGGCAGCTCTTTGAGGAGACCATAAAGACCCTCAACGGCTTCTACGCGGAGGCAGAGAAGATCGGGGGCAGCTCCTACCTGGAGGGCTGCCTGGCCTGCGCCACGGCCTACTTCATCTTCCTCTGCATGGAGACCCACTACGAGAAGGTGCTCCCTCCCAGGCCACCCTGCACCCCCTTCCTGGGGCTCCCTGCCCCACCTCATCCTCAACCAGCCCCTCTCCTTGCAGGTTCTCAAGAAGATCTCGCGCTACATCCAAGAGCAGAATGAGAAGATCTTTGCCCCTCGAGGCCTCCTGCTCACGGACCCCGTTGAGCGTGGGATGAGGGTTGTATCCTTCCTGTCTGTTCTGAGTGTGTGTGTGTGTGTGTGTGTGTGTGTGTGTGTGTGTGTGTGAGGGGCACAGGGCTGCCAGCCAGTAGGTCTGGGGTGAGCTGCCAGGAAATGGGACCACCCTAGGGTTTTTAGGGTGCCCCACATGTCTGATCACCAACCCTGTCCCTTCACCATAAGTTATTGGTGCTTGTTTGTGAATTTCAGGGTTTGCTTTTATGTATTGAACTGCATTTACTCAGTGCTTAGTGCCTGTCAGGTGGCAGAGTAAGTGCTCTGAAACTATGGGTCCATGTGATTCTCACAACACCCCTATAATGTGGGTAACATTATGTCCCTTGAAAGATGAGCACACTGAAGGTAAGTCACTGGCTCATGGATTTGAGCCCAGGCCCAGTCTTAACTGCAAGGCTGTACTGCCCCTCAGGGAATATGCAAATAGCCACCTACATTTACATGTTTACAATCTATCTATATAAAAGGCTAATATGCTAAGTGTCCCTCTCCCTGCCTGACTGGTCGCTATGATACACACTGACCACCAGGGGGCAGCCGCTCAATGCAGAAGCTGCCAAGCTGCAGTGACTTGGCAGTGGCGGTTCTCGGGTGACACACCCAGAGACCAGAGAGGAGGGAGCCTGATTCCTTGCAAGACCACGTGATTCCACCTTCAGCTGTGGGTTATGTTGTTGCTGGGTCATTGTTGGCCCAAATCTGGTATACTGTACATTTGCATTTGAGGTCCACACCTTGTACAACAGCAACTTTGCAGAGTGCCCTCTTGCACTCTGGGACCCCTCGGGGGATGTTGGAGAGCCAGTTTTGGCCCAATCCCCCATAAGCCAGGCTGAGGGACCCCACCTGCTGGGGAGACCCCGCTCACTCTGCAAACGCTGGGGTGGGATCATGGAAGGTTGGCTCCAGGGGGTGTCTGGCCCGTCTCACCCAGTCCCGCCCCACTGGCCACCTTTTAATTAATTTTCCTTTCAATGTGCACGAATCCATGCATGGGGTCACTAGTATCATATAAACCTCCTTAATTCCTCATGGGAGGTCTTGTTCCCCTTTCACAGATGAGAAAAACGAGGCTGTGGTGGCTGGCTGGCCAAGGGGTGGGTTATAGGTCTGCTCACTCCACCTGGTCTAGTGTGCACACTTCCCTCCCCAGTCAGCAGCAGCAAGAATAGAATGGTTAAAAAACAAATTTTAATAGAAAATTGAGCAAAGAAAATGCAAGCACCAGAGTCTCACGTTTACAAAGCCCAGCGAGAGGCGCTTGTTATTACTGAGCCTGTACGATGTGCTAAGTACTAGTACACTTTATTTCATTTAAGCCTCTCAACAACCCCAAGATTCTATTATTATATCCATTTTACAGACATGAAAATGGACAGGCAACAAGTGACTGGTTTAGAGTGAGAGGTGGAATTTGAACTCAGGTCACCAAAGACCTTGCACATCCTATCTAATAGAGAGGGGATATGCTAATTGACCCTCATGCCATCACAAAAGATGGCGGCACCCACAGCCTGTCAGTAAGGAGGGGATATACTAATTGACTGCCCCAACCTCAAAGATGGTGGCACTCACAGCCAATAAGGAGAGAATATGCTAATTAACTGCCCCATCCTCAAAGATGGCAGCACCCACAGCCACAAGATGGCAGTGCCCAGTCCCTTCAGCCCTGCCTGGGTGCCTGTCTCCAGAGTCCCCCAGTCCTCTCAGCTCCCCAGCCACCCAGGGAAGCCCGAGGCTTATGTTGCTGGCAGTGGCAGCAGCAGAGGTGTGATGGGGCATCACCTTTCCCTGGTCATCGGGTTGCCTCCTGGCCCTGAGGGCTCCCAAATTGTGAGAGCGGCAGGCTGGGCTAGGGAATTTTCCCGCCCCGGGCCTCTAATCCTGTCTAATAACACCTCATCCCTGGCATGTGCTTCCTGGGATCCAGTGATTAGACACTAGAAAGTGAGCTCCTGGGCCTTTGTGCACCCTCGCAGGGCCTGGCCCCGCCAGTCTCCATAACTGAGCTGAGTGTGCAGGTGGGCCTTGGGGTCTAGCTCCCCAGGCCTCAGGTTCTTACTGTCTAGGAAGCAGGACCAGCTGTGCCTCCTGCTCCCCAGCTGGCCTCCATCAAAGGCTCCTGCCTCCCTGCTGGCAGCCGGCCGCCCTCCTTAACGTGGCCCCAGATCGAGATCTCCATCTACGAGGACCGGTGCAGCAGCGGCAGCTCCAGCAGCGGCAGCAGCAGCAGCGGCAGCGGCAGCAGCAGCGGCGGGGGCGGCGGGGCGGGGTCCCGGTGACTGGCCGAGACTCCCTGCAGGGAGGTGTACGGCCGGACCCAGGGCCTTGCAGACCTGCGGCGGCTGCGCTACCAGAGCACCCGCTTCTGAGACCGTCTGTGGGCCCACTTGCTGCCCAGGCGGGCGGGCGGGCGGGCGGGCAGGCGGGAGGGGGACTGGCCAGGGTTGGCCGCAGGCCATCAGCTGCGCACCCTGCTGTGGCCCTGGGAAGGACGGTCCTCCTCCTGACCTGGCTCTTCCCCGTAAGGCTGGTCCGGGTCACACGGAGGCTGGGGTGGGGACAACACAATCTGGACAACCCACTTCTTCTGCAGCAGCTCTCTTAATACCCCGAGAGGGCCCGGGAGTGTAACAGAGAATCCCCGTCCTGCATGATTCCTCGCCCCATGTCTCCCGTCCCCAGGACACCCTCCCCTGGGGGCCCTGCGCCCCATGGCTGACTCTCCCGTGTCTGTGCTTCCTGATGCCATGCTGGGCCTCTGCCTGTCTGTGATCCTGCCTCCACCTGCCTTGAGGCCTGGGGAGATGGGAGTGGTCAGACCACAGGCGCCGCCATGGTGGAGAGCTAGCTGTTCAGTCCCCTTCTGAACGCCTTCAGACCTGGGGCTCCCTGTCCCTCACCAAAGCCTGAGGCCACGTTGGCCTTGCCAAGAAGCATCCAACTCCCCGGACGCTGTGGGCAGCCTGGTCTGGGATACAGCCGGGGCTCTGGAGGTGATGTGGGGCCCGGGGAAGGCTCCGTGGAGAGATGCAGCCTTGGGGGCTCGAACCTCCAGAACCAAAGCCAGCTTCCCGAGGTTAGAACCCGCACGTATGTGAGCATGAGTGGGAGCGCATGTAGGATGAATGTGAGTGCACTCTGTGCGTGAATGCATGTGTGTGTAGGTGTGTGACTGCATGTGAGTGCACCTATGTGTGAGTGTGCCCACATGTGAGTGCACGTGTGTGTGAGTGTGCCCGCATGTGAGTGCATGTGTGTGTGAGAGGGCACTGTACGTTCCCCTTGGCTGCAAGGCAGATGACTGCCCCTCTCTGCATCCTGTCTTACCTTCCAGCGCGACGGTCTGTGGCTACTGCTCTGCATGGGCCCAGAGCCCCTTGTAATACACGCCTGTAAATACACGCCCTCGAGCTCCTTGCCCCTACCCCTGCCCCTGTCCCTGCTCCTGCCCTGTGGCTGCCAGCTTGGCTCTTCTTCCAGGTCTTTTCCCTACCTGCAAGGTTCTCTTTACAACCTGACACCTCTGTGTACATGCTAGCAGAAGAGAATTTGGGGTTCTAGGAGAGCAGAGCCCCCCTGGGGCCTTCCGTGCCCCTGTCCCAGCCCCCATGACAAGGCAGCAGGGCCATAGCCCTGCACGCTCAGCCTGCCCACGCTCCAGGATTCTCTAAGGTTCAGTGAGGCCTCCTCGGACATTCAGAGGAGCTGGCTGCCTGCAGGGGAAAAGGCAAACCTCTTTCTGGAGAGGAAAGAGGGACGTCCAGCCCATACGTCCCTGCTGCGAAGGCTCAGGGTGCCCGAGGGAGGAGGCTGCCTGTCCGGGTGCCCTGCAGGTAGACCCTGGAGGCTGGCTGCCCCGGTGGCAGGAGGTGCTGGGAGGGGAGAGGAGAGACCAGCCACCGCAGGCAGCTTTCTGATACCGGGGAGGGGCCTGGTTTCCTTGGACACAGGAGCAACATACCCCCCCCCCCCCAGAAGGTTAGGGAGGGTGTCCCAGCTCCTGAGCCCAAGTGGGTTCTGATCCAGAGTCACCTGAGAGAGCTGCAGTCTAGTGGGCTCCTCCATAGCTCCCTGACCCGGGCCCCGGCCTGAGTCCACCCCAGCCCACTGTGTGACTGGGCCTTGCTCTCACCTGTGCCTCTCCATGGGATGGCTGGGCACAGGTGACGTGGTGGCCTTTTGTTATTTCTTTTTCCAATAAAAGAACTTGCTGAGCTTGAGGCTCTGTGCTGCTTCTCTCCTTGCTGTGAGGGAGGACACTTCTCTGCCCCAGGATCGCAGGGAGGGGAGGGGAGGTGCCTGCCCACCGCACGCCGAGCAGGTGGGCTGAGTGGCCTGATGCTGTAGGATGGACCCTGTCTTCTTACGCTTGTGGTCTAGTGTGTGTGGGGGGTTTACACTCCAGATCCCCTAATCTGTAGTTCATATGGGGCACTGCAGTCTCAGGTGGGGATCTGGTTAGACTGAAAGCCAGGTCAAAAGTAAGAAGTGAATTAATTCAGTAGATACCCATTTCTTGAGCTCTTACCTTGGGTTGGACAGTTAGGCGTTGGATCACACAATTCGTTTAGTTCTAAAGACTGAAAAGGTGTGTGGGTGTTGAATTCTAGCAGAGTTGTGTCTTGGGTTTCATAAAATAACATTTATTGAACACCTACTGTGTGCCACACACTTTGCTGAAACCATATGCTATAGCCGGGAGGGGACTTCAAGGTCATCTAAATGAGGTAGAATAGAGGCCCAGAGAGGGTGAGTGGCTCCAGGTCACACGGTTGATGATGATGATGCCAAGTGTAGAACCAAGGTCTCCGGACCCAGTGCTCACGCTCACACCGAGGGGTGGCACCCAGGTGGAAGCTGCCTATGGATGCAGGGAGGCTGGGTCACACACTTAAGTGTTTGGGCCGAGAGAGGCTCTCACCCAAGGTTGGGAACAACAGCTCCAGTCTCTGGGTATGGGTTTGGGGAGGGGTTCCCTCAGGGATGTGCTGAACAACACCCTGGGTGGCCTTCATACTTACTGCTCCTGAGGGGAAGCGGGGCCTGGGCCTGAGCCATGGGCAAGCTGGACCCAGGTCCTTTGCTCAGACCCGGGGTGTGTGGGGATTGTTACAATGGACGCTGTTCTTCTAGGTTCATCGTGTCTCTTCTGTTTGCAACTGCATTCTTTATATTGCTAGTAATAATAAAATAACAGAAGCTAGCATTTATTTGGCAATTACTGTGTGCTAGGCACTAGGCTAAGACTCTACGTATTTCATCATTCAATCCTCACAACAACCCTCTATGTTGTGACGGGTACAGTATTCCCATTTTACAGATGTGGAGACCGAGGCTCACCAAAGTTACACAGCTAGGAAGTGCTTGGCATTGAATCTAGACAGTCTGGTTCCAGACTGTGAGGAAGATGATAGATCTAGCTTCAGAGACCGCCTCCCCTCCCCCCCCCCCCCCGCCCCTGCCTGCCCCCAGCAGCTTGAGATCCTCAGCCATCCTAAGGATGGGGTTTCCCAGGTTCCCAGGGGAGGACTTGGAGCTGTGCCTGGACCCTGAGGCAGGTCTGGTACCTCCAAGCCCAGGCATCACAGGAGTGTGGGTGGACTGTACTCCTCATGGACTCCACGGGGCAGCCACACCTGCTGTGCTTCTTTCCGCCTGGCGTTCCCTCTGCGGGCTTAGTTATGGGGGGAGTGGCCTCTCTCCTGGGTCCACCTGGTTGCATCCAGGTGCCTGCATCCTCCTTGTCAGCCAGAGAGGCTTCATCAGGCCCTAGGAACAGAGACCCTCACCCCCCGCTCCCGCCCCCGCCCCCGGCAGCCTTCCCCCTCATTATCTCACGACTCCACTTTCTGACTTACTTTGGCAAAGGCAGAAAGTGGAAGGGTGTGTGTTGAAAAAAAAAAAAAAAAAAAAAATCAGTTTACAGAAGCTCGTGGTGCCCCCAAGTGGAGGCATCGTGCACTGCACCCGGAAATAGGCCTAGGTCAGAGCTGGTCCTCAGCTGTGGGTAACTTTCCCATGACCCCAACCAGCAGCTTCTCCCACCTGCAAAGACTTTACCGCGGCTCCCAGAAGCTCCGGGCAAAGGACGCCATGAGGTGAGTCTCCCACAGCCAGCCCCTGGGGCGCTGCCTGTCTCCTGGAGGCGTGTGTGGCCTGGGAAACCCCGTCTCCCTGCCCCCCAGCCGCAGAGGGTCTTCCGGTGAGGAGGGTCTCTGCAGGGAACACCCCCACCTGGCTCTGGCTTTCCTGCTCACGAAGGGTGAAGGCACTGCGCCCTGGGTCGGATCTGAATGGGATCTGGCTTTGTGACTGTAGCAAGCGGTGGAGACGCCTGGGGCCTCCGTTTCCCCAGTTGCAAATAGGGTTACTAATGCTTCACAAAATTGCTTAGACCCGTGCTTCTCATGCATGGTGTCACCCAAGGAGCAAGAAAAACTGCTGAGGCCTCGTCCTACCTCCAGATTTCATTGTTGTGTGGTGCAACCTGGGCACTAGGGTTTTTCAAAGCCCCCCTCCTCTCCAGTAACTATAACATGTATTGGGGCAATCACGTAGTAAGTTATAGAATGTCCAACCACTGGGTTATACACCTGGAAGGAATATAATGTGGTATGTCAAGTGTAATGGGGAAAAAATAAAAAAAATAAAAATAAAGGCACGGTCGAGAGCCCCTGGTTTGAGCAGCACCTGGAGCCCACACGCTTTTCACAGGCCTCGGACAATGTCTGACACCTGAATGTGGGTCCCATGAAAGCAGCCAGACTCAGAATGAGTGGGAACTCTGCAATCCCACTCACAAAACAATGAGGGCACAGGCAAAACTAATCTATGCTGTTAGAAGGCAGGATAGCGGCTGCCCTGGCCGAGGGGTGGGGTGGGGTGGGGGGGGGGTCCCCCACAATGAGGGGAAGGGGGCCTGGTGGCTTCTGGGTGCTGTACCAGGGTGCTCGTGAGAATCCACGGAGCTGTACATTTAGGATCTGTGTCTTTTTCTGAAGTCTGATACATTTATTTACCGAAAACGTTTATTGGCTCCAAAATAGAAAAAGAAAGCACAAAATTGAAAATGTTTTATTACATATCAACTGGTACAAAAGACAGCATTGTGCCAGTCATCTACAACTCAGCAGACTCGTGTATGTGTGTGTGTGTGTATGCGCGTGGCTGTGGACAGATAGGAAAGCATTTGATATGATAAGGGGTGGGATGTCCAAGAGAGAAGGTCCCTAGTGTTTAAGAAAATCTTGAAACAGCTCAGGCTTATACCAGGAGCGCT